TTTAATGTATAAGTCAGACAAGCTGACTTGCTGTTCATTTTAATCAGTCAGATTATGGGGTTTCTATTGTGTCACAAACCACCAGTTGCCATGTTTTATATTTTATGGTAAGCAGAAGAACATTAGTAATTTAAACTAAATCTGATGTATCACAGTTGAAAAGCTTCCTTGGCTTCAGTTGGGGAAAGGCTTGGATGTTGATTTAAATTTATCCTGGCTCAAATGAGTTATTACCTATATAAAACATTTCTCACTGCTCTTTCCAGCATGTTTCATGCTCAAAATGAATTACTTCTGACCTAAACAATTATTGGCTGTACTTAAAGAATATTTTAAGAGAAGTGTCCAACATAACAGGACTTATTGGTCTGTCAGAGCACTTTCAAGAGAAACCAAGCAAATAAATTACTCTAATTAATGTCGTCATTTGGATGGTACTAAATGGAATGCGTGGGAATTTAGCCCTCATGTTTCTATATGTGCATATAATAACTATTGCTGTCTGTTATTGAGATTCTTGAAATGTGAACTTCCCTGGTACAAGTGTATACTCTGTGTAATTCACTGTTTAAAAAATATCCCCCTCCTTCACTACAAGCTCAGAAGCATTTATCTGTAATTGTGTGTTTTACACTGTGCTACATACTCAAGGAATTTTTCACAATGCCCCCAACCACAGAAGAAAACCACCAGCTGGAAAGTGGAATGAATGCTTTCTCACTAAACTGAACACTGGTGTCCATCCCTTGAAGCATAAACACAGTTTTGTACTGTACTGATGAGTACCAATGTTCAAAAAGAGCAGTTGGCATCGCTTTTCTTTTTTTTTTGTAGGCATGCTGTTCCATGATGTCACAAGATAGCTTTTAAAAAGGGATTCATTAAATCAGACTTCTCCTACTTTTGGGTTTGTAATCAGTAGGGGGGATTTTCCTAAAGCTCTATTAATGATATGCAGTTTATCCATTCAGTTTGACTGTGGAAAAAGGACCTCCTTGACACAAAGCAAGTGCTGATTTGTGGCATGGACGTATAGTAAAGGTTTAGTTGAAGACGTTCTTTTTTCGGTTGGATTATCAAACTAGTTGGTCTTCAATAACTGTATATCATTCCGTTTATATGTTAACGTTAGGTTGTCCTACTGTACGTGCTTGTTCCCATTTTCACTTACTGGTGGTGAGACTGACACACACACGTCTAATGAAGCCTATGCAGAAATTCAACTGAAGAAACTCATTGTTCCACCTGGGACACAGCCAATCAGCTTTGAACCACTCCTCCAAAAAAGCCAATCAGCATCCAAAGCTCATCTTAAAAGGCCTCCGATACGCACCTGTCTTCTCCTGTGCGCAGGCGGCGGATGCGCTGTGACTTCATTTAGATGAGACCGTTTCAACCCACCTTCAGCCCCTCCTTTACCTTTGCAGCTAAACCTTAATCAGAATGTCATTTCTCCTGGACTCTTACTGCGTTCCTTGTCTCATCTTAACCGGTCCAACAGAAGACCGCCATGTTGAGCCTGGTTCTGCCAGAGGTTTCTTCCCAAAAGGGAGTTTTTCCTCTCCACTGTCGCTTCATGCTTGCTCATCATGGACAGGTTCTCTGTGTTTTCCAACTGGACTTCCAACTTCCAGGTCCCTGAGTCAACCTCTAGTATCAGCTCATGCAATTCACTGGATCTCCCCATAAAGCTCAGCATACCGTCTCGCTAACCAGCAGTCTACAGACTGACCAAGTTCATCTATCTCCACTCCACCACCAGATTCAGGCCTGGGGGGGGAACAGCCCTACTCTTTGCTCTTGTTCATGCATATCTATCAAAACTAAGTGCTATGTTTCCTGCCGAGGTCTGAGCGCCCAGGACCAAGTAATTGTATCAATACATTTCTCCTAATTGTCTTTTCTCTTTGTGTGAGTTTTTCAGATTGAAATAGGTGTTCCCTCTTGGGAACGGGTACTGGGTTGTGCATTTGCAATTTTTTGTTTAAGTGGAGAGGGCGGGCTTTCAAAAGTTCACAAAAAATCATCCACTGTGCCTTTAAGATGTCGGTAAGAACACAGAAAATGTAGCTTTCCCCAGTTGTGTTATTTTTATTTACTTAATTGGAATTATGTGTTAGACTACCAAAGTTATGTAATTATCTTCTAAAAATAGGTTTAGAGGACCTTTCTTAATGTTTCTATGAAAGAATTAATGCCTGAAATATGAAAACAAAGCGAAGTGTGTACAGAAATAAGGGTAGTTTGAGACTGGTGCTTTTCAAAGTGGATGTTTGTCAAAGGTCACTACATGGAGCAAGACAGAAAAGGAGAAAGGGAGCAAAAGGGTTTTGTAGGAAACAGTCAGCAGAGGTGGTTTGTTGTTTTCTGGTGCATTGAGAGGAGTGAACAACAGTTAATTTGGTGCAGTATTTAAGCGCCAGTGTCATTTTTATGATGCAGAAACAATGCGGTTTATATATTACAAGACACAAGCACAAGATTAATGGTGGTTTCTTAAAAAATCATAAAAGTGTTTTGCTCTTTTTTTATGTAGAAGAATAAATCAATGTGAATGTTACTGCGTACTTATAGAGGTTCAGCCTTCTTTTTTTCCTATTAACGACTAAGTGGATTTACAATTGTTTCTCATGAGTTTACTGACACAAACAGTTATTAGTGACCCGACCTGTTTTTTTTTAAACAACAATGTCAAACTTTATTTTTCTTATCTTCAATTATAAGAGGTGGTGAATGATCCCAAGGGCATGTGAATGAAAAAAACAGCTGGACCTGGATTTGGGGAAAAAATTAGGTACTTTAGCAACTTGTGCGTTCGAGGTACTGGCAGCCCACTGCTCCCCAAGGGGATGGGTAAAATGCAGTTGTATATTTCTCCTATAGGAGATCAATAAAGTTCAATTATTTTTATTATCATTATTATTATTACTGTGTTTAGAATTTCCACCCAAAACAATCACCAGTTAAAAGCTCTTGAGAACTGCACACCGTCTTTTTTTTTTCTCCATAAAGTGACATGATGAAGAAAAAGTCTTTCAGAGTGGTTTGGGGTCCTGAGGTATGTTGGTCCTGTGGTTGGTTTCCCCTCATGCCTTAGAGGAATGAGTCACAGGAAATTGCAGAGTTGTTTTGAGTGGCAGCTACATGTCTGTTTTAATGAAAGCATTCTGTTATGATATGTTTCTCCTATCCTTGGTGGAGAGGTCAAAGAATGTTTTGTAAAAGTGAAATTGTTGATCGTTTTTAGAGTCTCCGGTGTTTACAATCAAATTTTAACCCAACCGAAAAATGTATGCAAAAATTCTAGTCAATATATTTTATATTATTTCTATACTGAGTCATAACTTTAGCTGTGATCCACAGATATCCGTTTTGCTAGATGAAATATTCTTATTTTCTAGTAAGAAATGTATTAAACTGTTATCATGCAGCGAAAGGGTTGTTTTTTTTATTAGAAGTGAAATAAGGCCACATGCTGGCTCACTCAGATATGACTAGATAGAAAGAACATTTTCCTCACAACTTCCCAGGTTTTTGCTCAGGCAGCACTACTTTAAGGACATGTTTGTTTTCTCTTGGGTCTACCTATTATCACAAGTTAATTGCGTTTGTACTCCCCTGCTGCACTTTGCAAGATCTTATCTTCTGTTTCCTTTGTTATATTAACTGTATATGTTTAGGGTTTAGACACTGTATCTGCTAGTTTCCAACTAGGAGTAAGCTGTTTTTTCCTTTGATAAAGAGTTGGGGATCACATTTTGATTAGATTTTTTTTTTTCTGTTTGTTTTTTTTTAATTATTGAGAAGGCAGAGAGCTAAAAAGTGAGACAGTTGTTAACAATGTTGTCTTGCAGGAAAATGATTCTGTGTTTAAATCCTGGTTGGTTTGTTTCAATGAAGATTTCTTTTTTATTATTATTATTATTTTTTTTATTAGGTGCATTTGTGGATCCTGTAGTCCTACTTTTGCCTTTAAATTATGACCAGACAAAGATTAATTGGCTATAAAACATGGATGTACAAATAATCATACGTTGTTACTTAGTGTAAACCAAATGCCAACTAAATAAACCTAACCACACTGACAAAACATTTTAGTTGCATGTCCCTAGCTGATGTGCTTGTTTGTTTTTGTTGTTTTTTTTAATGCCAGTTATCCACAGTTCTGTAGACTGTTGTATGAGACATAGGTGTTTACTGATGCACTAGACTGAGTAGTGATAGGAAATCAAGAAATGAATCAATGAATCAGATCATTTATATTCAATCTATTATTAAAATAATCGTCATTTAGTTAGGTTTATTGTGTATATTTATTTATAAAAAATGTTTACGTCCGAGCCCTCCTTACACCTTATAGGTCACATCATGATGAGTCTGAAACTTTGTACCAATTGCACCTTTTAAGAAAAGATTTAAATGAGTGTAACAAACATTTTTAAAGATTGTCCTGTATTCAATGTATATATATTCTGTATTATTTCCATGTACATTAGCAACACTTTTTAGTATTTGTAGATAATTTTATTTTAGATACAGATATGGCTTGTGAAAAGAAATATATATGCTTTTTTAAATAAATAAAATTTCTCAGTTTAAGAAACTTTTATAGGGATTAGGTGACCATTTTGAGAGATCTAAATGCATTTCTTTACATAGATGAGAATGATGATAAAATTGTGCATGGCCTCTATAAATAAAAGCTTTACTTGCTGAGTTAATGTTTCTTAAGTGGCACCTACTAAGCAATTTGAAACCCATGTGGGAGAGTGGGTTTTGATTGCATGTATTATATTTGCTCAGTGATCATTTATGTTTTTGTTTTTTTTCCCCCATACAAAATTAAGGCACGCTAGAGGTCATCTTAAAAATTCAATGTACAGTCTTTACATATTTCTTTTCCTTACTGTTATATATACTTTTAAATATTTGTTCATGTAAAGTTGTTTTTCTTGCATGTCAATTTTTTTAAACAGTTATTTTCTGTGTTTTTCTTTCAGGATATTTGACAGTTACCATAGAGCCCCTGCCTCCTGTAGTTGTGGGTGAGACTGTAACACTCAAGTGTAACTTCAAAACTGATGGAAGGCTGCGAGAAATTGTTTGGTACAAGGTGAGTATGCTTTCAAATCCATTAAGCACTAGATGGGTTTTACAACATCCATATCTGTTATTTCCACCCATACAGTCAATACCAAAAGCTATCTCGCATGTTTATTGTAGCATTAGAAAAGCAGCCATGTGTGATCAGTCAATACCAGAAGCCACATCACAACATTATGGTTGTATTAGTGAGCACCCTTGTACTGTCATGCTACAGTTTTTAATAGACAGCAGTTATTTGAGCCGGCTGTAAGGGACTCATTGCTGCTGGGAATTTGATTTCACCATATGATGGTCATCGCCATCAATCCCTAATTGTTCACAGCTGTCGATTCAACAGTCATTTAAATCCCAACTATGTAAGTGCCACTAATAATTAAATTTGTGTTAAATGAGGATACAGAACTTTATGTGCACAAGAATAGAAAAACTGGCTTGCTTTGAAGATCTGCCAAAACAAATATTTCTTAAATGTCTCCCAATCATTACACTTCAGAGTAAGGACATTTGTTCCATTTCATGAGAGAGAAGCACTTGCATAGGAAAGCAGAAGTAGTCTTTGCTGCTACATCTTTGTAAACCCAGTGTGTTTTTGCAAATAATTAGTCAAAACATATTCAAAGTCATTCAGATATGTGTCTAAGTTTATGTCAGTGAAAGATTTAAATCCTGTCTTTGGGTAGTTGTAGTTTCTAATTGTTGACACAAAAATGTAATTTACACTGTGTATTTTTCATAAAATATAGAATCTTGTTTTCTATAATCACTTATGTTGCTTTAGACAACCAACTCACCAATGAGTTTCTCCAAAAAAGCAAATAATCAGTGAGGTCTGATAAAAATTACTTTACTTATCAATCTTGATGTATTGTATTTCTACTGCTCTAATTGCAGGGTTGTGGGTTTTACCAAATGGGGGTTGGGGTGTTGTTGTTGTTGGGTAAAATGAAAATTTGATATAGTTATATCTCTTCTGAACAGACAAGTGGCACAAACTTGCTTTTTACTTCTAAATGTTAAAATACCTGAGCTAGCAAATTGAATAAGTAACAGACACAACTGTGCTAAAATAAATGAAGTAATGATTGGCAAAGGGTTCTTTGAAACGTAACTGGCAAAATCCAACAAATTAAAATCCATAGTGATTGCATATCATCACCATTGTAGTGAAACATGTCAGGGATGCAGTCTATTGGAGCCTACATATGCCATTCCACATTACCTGTTTATAATTGGCCATTTCTAATGAATGAATCGACATTTTGTCAATTTTAACATTTGTTGTTTTTATGTTTCTGTTCCTCCAATGATTAGCCAGTGGCCCCATGTACACTATATTGCCAAAAGTATTTGCTCACCCATCCAAATTATTGGAATCAGGTGTTCCAATCACTTCCATGGCCACAGGTGTATAAATTCAAGCACCTAGGCATGCAGACTGTTTTTACAAACATTTGTGAAAGAATGGGTCGCTCTCAGGAGCTCAGTGAATTCCAGCGTGGAACTGTGATAGGATGCCACCTGTGCAACAAATCCAGTCGTGAAATTTCCTCGCTCCTAAATATTCCACAGTCAACTGTCAGCTGTATTATAAGAAAATGGAAGTGTTTGGGAACGACAGCAACTCAGCCACGAAGTGGTAGGCCACGTAAACTGACGGAGCGGGGTCAGCGGATGCTGACGCGCATAGTGCGAAGAGGTCGCCAACTTTCTGCAGAGTCAATCACTACAGACCTCCAAACTTCATGTGGCCTTCAGATTAGCTCAAGAACAGTGCGCAGAGAGCTTCATGGAATGGGTTTCCATGGTCGAGCAGCTGCATCCAAGCCATACATCACCAAGTGCAATGCAAAGCGTCGGATGCGGTGGTGTAAAGCACGCCGCCACTGGACTCTAGAGCAGTGGAGACGCGTTCTCTGGAGTGACGAATCGCGCTTCTCCATCTGGCAATCTGATGGACGGGTCTGGGTTTGGCGGTTGCCAGGAGAACGGTACTTGTCTGACTGCATTGTGCCAAGTGTAAAGTTTGTTGGAGGGGGGATTATGGTGTGGGGTTGTTTTTCAGGAGCTGGGCTTGGCCCCTTAGTTCCAGTGAAAGGAACTCTGAATGCTTCAGCATCCCAAGACATTTTGGACAATTCCATGCTCCCAACTTTGTGGGAACAGTTTGGAGCTGGCCCCTTCCTCTTCCAACATGACTGTGCACCAGTGCACAAAGCAAGGTCCATAAAGACATGGATGACAGAGTCTGGTGTGGATGAACTTGACTGGCCTGCACAGAGTCCTGACCTCAACCCGATAGAACACCTTTGGGATGAATTAGAGCGGAGACTGAGAGCCAGGCCTTCTCGTCCAACATCAGTGTGCAACCTCACAAATGCGCTTCTGGAAGAATGGTCAAAAATTCCCATAAACACACTCCTAAACCTTGTGGACAGCCTTCCCAGAAGAGTTGAAGCTGTTCTAGCTGCAAAGGGTGGACCGACGTCATATTGAACCCTATGGATTAGGAACGGGATGTCACTTAAGCTCATATGTGAGTCAAGGCAGGTGAGCAAATACTTTTGGCAATATAGTGTAACTTGTATAAGGTACAATTATTGAAATTCTTTGGTGTATTCAGTAAGGCTTACTTTTCTTGAGTTAACTCAGTAATAAATGTACACAAGGTTTGATGGTAACAGCTATACAGCACCTGACTTTGGTGACATTTACCACAGTTTCACTCCTGCAACCTAAACAAGAATGTGTTCACTAATGGGCAGATTGTTATTGCTTAGCCAGGAATTTTGTCTGGACTTTTCCCCGCTTTTCATTTTTTCTATGTTTGTGTTGTATCTGTACTTATCTTTCCAAATGCTGACCTTTCAAGGTAGGACATAGAGATTTATGGAGCTTTGCACATTCCCCTTAACACCATAGATCACTTTCCCTGCTGTGACAAATTCATTTAATCAAGCTGGATCTGCATCATAGTGCTTCGTTTTGCCTGAATCTTGTCAACCTGCTGCAGTGTCTATGAATATTTGTGCTTTAAGTAACCACTTTGAGAATTGAGCTGCCTGTCTTCCCAAGAGGAAAGTAAGGAGGTTGTAAGAAAGATTTGCCCCGTGTCTCTGGGGTCTGCGGCTCAGCACAACTGCTGATGAATTATAAATCAATTACCCACACTTGGCTGCCAAAGTTTCTTTAATCTCTGCCCTTCATTTAACTAAACACTGTTGACTCCTTATTTTATTTCCTACTGAAATGGACCATGAGGTGATCTTACCTGGTGAATCCTTGCTGTTTAAAATACGAAAAATGACATTATAGGTTGAATAAGCTAAATATTTCAACATCTTCATTTGGCATGCAGGTTTGTGACGTGTCTCTTTGAGGAAAGAACTTTTAGTTAGCATGTCAGAAGATGTACTAAAGTTGAAAGGATCGTTGTTGTGCAAAGGCTTTCAAACTAAACCTGCGAAAACTTTGTTTTGATAGATCCGAAACTTCAGATGTGAAAATTATTTTCTTCTACTTCTTTTCATAAAGAAACCAGGGATTTATTTTGATGTCTTTACTCTGTTATAAAGAGGATCTGCAGAAAAATAACACTTTCTCTAGCTTTCTTTAGCCAACGGCTACACAGTTTCCCATCTTTTAAACTTTTAGGTCAGATATTTCCCCGTTTTTATGAGGTTCTTTAGTTGACCGACTCCACTGCTGTCTTATTTTAGAATATTAAGGATATTGATTTTTTTTAATTGAGCTGCTGAAGGGAGTCTTGGGTCAATAGTTCCTATGCAGTTGACGTCAAAGAGTCTTTATTTATCTTTAGCCCTCATACTGGATGGCAACCCTGTTGTCACCTCACTATGATGTGATATTCTTTTTGAGAAATATTCTCTAAAACCAGAAATATACTTATATCAGACAAACGACTGTAGTGATGCAAACCAAACCTTGGATTTCAAAATAATCCAGAGATGCAGTTTGTTTTTTCTCTTTAAGTAATCACCAGCATTGATTACATTATAGCCTTATAACTCATACTAGAATAAATATAGCACAAAACTTACAAAAAAAAAATTACTCTGTGGGATCATGAAAAAAGAAAATATGAAAAAACATTTATTCTTTTTAACTAAATATTTTAGTCTGGAAATGTTCCAGCTTGAATATAAGCATGATAGGGCCAAGGTTATATAAAGATAAGCAGCTGCATGCTAATGCAGTTGTTCTTGTTGCAAGATGTAATGATGCTATTATTATTATTATTATTTCAGCAATGTTTTCATTGAGGAATTCAGTAGTCTCAAAGGAGCATGCAGAGGGGAACATTTAAAAAAAATTAAAAACTTAAGCTCAGCAGTACAAAAAGTCCAAACATTTGTAAATCTAAAAATAAAACCTTTTCCAAATCTTTTTTATTTATATATTTATTTTTTTTACATCTTTCTGGCTTACTCACATGTCTCTGTGCAAACTTATGGTTTGCGATTTCCTTTCTGGTAACTTCCCTTTACTGGTTATGTTGGAGTCCAATCATAACAATAGTTTGTGGGCTTTCTTTTGTAAGATCTGCAAAGTTAAAAAGTTCAGCCAAAATAAAAGTGCTAAAATAGTTGAAAGTCAGTGTTTGGTTGGTCGACAGGGGTCTACTCCATGCAATCTGATTGATGAAATTTACTGTTGTATTAATATAAAACAAAAATGTTACTGTCTCAAGCTTCCAGGCATTTCATGGCTCCCATTAGGTTAATGTTATCTTTGGCAAAACATAAAATATTAAATTGAAAACTTTTATTTTTTGTTCATTCAAATAATTTTTTTTCACATTTGCACTATTTTAATCATTTCTGTCAGTGTAAAATGAATGAAATTACCTGTAAAAAAAATACTTTTATTAATATAAGAGGATTATATAATGTGCATAAAAGCACCATCATGTTAGTGTAAGTCAGCAACAAGCGAAATGTAGATTCAATGAAGAAAACAGAAATAATGATATGAATAATAATCCAAAAA